TACAAACTCCTTGCAAGTTTCTTTATTATACCTTTAGTATGTTTATTTAGTTTTTGTTTGTTTGTTTGTTTGTTTGTTTGAAATGTGGTGCTGAGGATCGAACCCAGTGTCTCACACATGCTAGGCAAGTGCTCAACCACTGAGCCACAACCCCAGCCCCACACGTTTAAATTATACAAGTTAGCACCTTCTTCTCCATCTGTTTGATTCTCAGTTCACTTTACTACAACTTCTGTTTTCATCTCTTTATCAAAATAGATCCTGCTCAAGGTTCCCAAGCATCTCAATGTTCTTGTATTAAATAAACATTGGTCAGTCCTCTTGCAATATCAGAAAAAGAAGTTCTTCTTGGCTTTGCTTTGACATAGTTGACCATATCATCCCTCTGGTTACGATCTCTTCTCTTGCCACGGACATTGAACTTGGTTATGCAATTTGTGCTGTGTCTAGATACCTGGTCTAGGATGTGATGGGAGCAGAAATGTAGCCTGCAGCTGGACTGACCAATGCCCTGGTGTGGAGCTGAATCTTTCTAGAGGAAGGGGAAGCCTAATTCTTCTTGTAATGCCACTGTCTGCTGCCCAAGCCCTGCGTCTATAGGAATGCCTCTGCCAGAGGAGATGTCTTTCTTTCTTTCTTTTTTTCCCTTCATACTTGGGATTGAACAGGACTACATCCCAAGTTTATTTATTTATTTTTTTATTTTGAGCGAGGGTATAGGACTCAAATTTGCAATCCTCTGTCTCAGCTTCCCAAGAGTGTGGAATTATAGTTGTGCACCATCTCACCTGCCTGGAGATGCCTTTTAAAAACTTGTCATCTAGAGAAGCACTTCTTTCTAATTCTCATAAAATCTAATGATGCCCTTGTCCTTTATGTCCTCTAGTTTTTCTCTTACTGTTCTGTTAACATTTTTCTAGTCTCTCTACTTATTGATAGAAAATTATTACAGTAACCAGGATTTGGCCCTCTTCTGCATCCATCCTGGTCTTTTCCAACCCATTTTCCAAGCAGCAACTAGACTGATCCTCTCACCTCCTGCTTAAACTCTCCAGAGTTCACATTGCTCTTAGGACAGAAAACAAAGTTTTTCATCCTGGCCCCGCAGGCTCACCTTCTCTGGCCTGCCTTCCTCTCCAGCTTTATCTTCACTCTGCTCTTTGTGCTCATCCACAGGGGCCTCCTCAGGCTTCCTTCTGTTCCTGAATGCTAATTCCACTCATGTGGGTTTGCACACATGCTGGCTCTTGGTTATGCAGTTTGTCCTGTGTCAAGATGCCTGGCCTAGGGTGTGATGGGATCAGAAATGTAGCCTGCAGCTGGACTGACCAATGCCCTGGTGTGGCTACCACACCCCCTCATCTCCATCTAGTTGATGCCTAATTTCAAATACCTCAGGCCTTCTTTATCTGGATTAGGTTTTTATTTAAATGTGCTCATCTTTTTTTTTCTTTTAATACATTTATCCAAGTTTGTAATTACACTTTTATTAGCATGATTATCTTGACAAAAATCTGGCTTCTTGTTTGCTGGGCTATAAAGTCCCCCTAAATAATTTACCATTATAGTCTCAGTGCCTGCCACATAGTGTTTTTTTCAGGGGGTGGTAACCAGGTATTGAACTCGGAGGCACTTGAACACTGAGCCACACCCCCAGCTCTTTTCATATTTTGTTTAGAGACTGGGTCTCGCTGAGTTAATTAGTGCCTTCTTTTGTTGAGGCTGGCTTGGAACTCGCAATCCTCCTGCTTCAGCCTCCCAAGCCACTGGTATTACAGGTGTGTGCCACCATGCCCAGCTCACATAGTGTTTTAAAAAGTAACAGTTGTAAAAACAATAAGTAAACATAGAAGCATTCCGCAGGCTGGGGTTGTGGCTCAGTGATAGAGCACTGGCCTTGCATGTGCAAGACCTGGGTTCGATCCTCAGCACCACATATAAATAAATTAGTGAAATAAAGGCATTGTGTCCAACTACAACTAAAAAATAAGTATTAAAAAATATAAGCATTCCATAAATTATATTATTATCATTAGATCTTTGGGCAAATCATTTAATATTGGACTGCTGTTTGTAAAATGAAAGAAATAATATCTACTCATGGAACTACTATGAGAATTAAGTAATTGCAATTGAATTACATATGTGTATTACAAGAACATGTTTTAAATAATGACAGCTATCCCTGTCAACAAAAATAATGTTTTAAAGTCAAAATACAAATGATAAATTGAGAGAATATATTTGGAATACACATCACAGATAAAGAGCTGATATCCCTAACATACAAAGATCTTTTAAAATTGAAGACAAAAGGAAACCAAAAAATCTATATAAAAATGAGCAATAAAAATCATTTTATTAATGATAAATATATCATTAATAAAAACACATAAAAATGGCCCTTAAATATACAAAAGTATGTTCAACTTCACTTATTATAATAGAAATGTAAATAATTAAACCTCATTGAGATAGTATTTCTTACCCATCAGATTGCAAAATTCAAAAGCTTGACAATAGAAGCTTAGAAAGCTTGTGGAACACAGACACTAATATGTTGCTGTGTAAAATGTTGAAAAGTAAAATGATATAAGCTCTAAGGAAAGGACTATGGCAATAGCTTAAAAAAAATCTTTTAATCACTATATACACATTGATTTGTAACCCAGAAAACAGCAACCTCACTTCTAAGGATTTACCCTAAAGATATACAGCCAAAAATATGAAAATATACATGTAAAAGTTTCTTAATTGCAGCATCATTTGTAACTGGAAACCACATAAATGTCCAAACATAAGCCAGCTACTATTTCAACACACTATGGAACCACACAATGGAATGTGTATTTGATGGCCCATGCAGCTGTAAAAAACAATGAGGAAGATCTCTGTGAGGTGACATGGAGTGCACTTCCTAAGATACTGGTACATGAAAGAAGTGAAAAAAAAGCATGTAGAGCTTGTCTCCTTTTGTGTGAGAAAGAAGCTGGGGAAGGATACACATGGATCATTTAGCTTTACCAAAGAAACACAGGAAAGACAAACCAGAAAACCGTGAAGTTGTTTACTCAGAGGACTGAGTAGAATGGGTGGAATTCCGGAAGAAATGCACTTCTCCGAGTGTGTTTTTTGTGCAGTTTTCACTTTTTAAATCATATTCATGTTCTACAGGCTTGAAGAGTAGAAGTAAGCCATCAACGATGGGAACGAGTTAGGGGTAGGGGGGGACTAAAACTTAAAGTGAACTCATCCCTGAACTAGAAATAATAGCTGTGCCTAACTCACAAAGTTGTGGTAATATGAGTTAACAGATTAAGTGCTTAGAACAGTACTTAGTATAGGTAAGCCCTGCACAAGTTAACACTGTTTCTATTATTGTGATTATAATAGGAACCTGAGAGCCACCCCCGCCCCCTGGCTCCCCAAGTGTTCTGTAAACCATCTCTACAATGTTGCTACTCAAAAGTTGGGTCCTCCAATAGTGCATCAGCCTCATTCAGTAGCTTGTTGGAGATGCCTGACTCAGGAACCAGTTCAGACCTACTAAATCAAACTGGGCATTTTTAACGGGGTCTACAGGTGATTCATATGCTAGTTGTTTAAGAGGTATTGAGCTACAGGACGTGTAGGTGACAAGGTAATCTCAAGTTAACAAAGGATAAGTGGCAAATGAAAGATACCAGAAATGCATGCCGAGGAGCTCAACTACTCCTTAGTAATTCTCCCTGTTAGGATTTGTTCAGAGATGTTCAAAAAACTGGAGAAAAGCAAACTCAGTTCTACACAAGCGCCCAGATAAAACAGTCGCTTCTGAGCACAGGACACGCAGTGCACTTGAATCCTTGAAAACAGTGCCCTCCAGTGGTATACAGAAGGAATTTGCGGCCCCCTCTCTCTGAAATAGAGCACCTGGGGCTGAGTCTGGCCTCTGTTCTCTGCCGGTGAGGTACCCTGGTCATCAGTCATTGGTGTCTCTAGGCGGGGTTTTTGGTTTTAAACCCGGCTGCCAAATAGCTAGCTCATCACCTGTGTCACTACAGGGTACACGCACAGAAATGCACAAAGCAGAAACAAAAAAGTGTTCCTTATGAGCCAGATATAATTTTTGCAAAACGATAAAACCAGAAGAAAGTGTCTGAAATAGTTTTCTACCCTCACCTTCCTGGATCCTGGCACTTTGGCAGCGGTGCTCTCCTGAATCCCAGCTGTCAGAAACAAAACAGGCTGCTTCCTTCCTTCCTTCCTCTTTTCTCCCCCCCCCCTTTTTTTTTTCCTTTCCGTTCCTCATCTTCCTTCTGTTTATATTCCTTTCTCCGGAGTAACAGGTTGGTTAATTTACATTAAAAAACAAAAAATAAAGGGTTTTTTTTGTTTGTTTGTTTTGTAAATTCTAACTCAAATGCCTGCAAAGTAACCTATCAACCATTGCCTTGTTGCACGATAGTCAGTACTTGTAAGTAAATTGTTAATCAAAGACAGCTCACCAAAGCTTGTTTTAAAGGGAAAAAAAAATACATTTTTTTTCCACTGAGTATTTTCTAAGTTTTAGAATGTTCCTATGCTTATATCTCCACAATGACTGTCTTTTTAAATGTTTGAATGTTTTCATTCAAATAATAAGCAATGGAGCAATGTTTTGCACTTGAATATTATTGCTCGCGTACTGAGCTTTCTTGAGCCTGACCTCTAAATTTGCCTTTTACTTTTCACCCCAAGGCTACAGGAATCCCATCTTGAGAAATTCATGGGCGATAAGGGGTGAAAGCGGGTCTCGCCTCAGTAACTCCTCTTGGCCTGTCGACTAAAGTGTTCCAGGAGACGTCTGGGGAACAGGGGAGCCCAGAGCCCTAGGGTCCGGCGGGGCGCGGCGGTGACCGCGGGCTCTGGGGCTGGCCTTCGGAGGGGCGGGCTGCGCGCGGTCCCGGCTCCGAGGCGGGGCGGGACGGCTCGGGTTACTCGGAGCGCTGCTGCGCGCCGCGCCTTCCCTGACCGGCCGGCGCCTCCTCCTAGAGCCGCACCGGGAGGCAGCGGCGCGGCGTCCAGGCGGCAGCGGCGGCTCCGCCCAGGGCAGCCCCGGGCAGCGCCGGCCGGTGAGTGTGCGCGGGCGGCCGCGGGTCGGGGGAGCTCGCTAGGGTACCTCGGGCTCTGCGCCCTGGGGGGAACGGGCTCCGAGCGCTGACTCCACTGATGCCCACCCGACCTGGGCTCTGGCGGTCACCGCCTCTCCTAGTGGGTCTGTCCCTCTGCCTCGGGCTTTACCTTCAGGCCTTTCTCACTCCTCTAAAACTAATAGCCCACAAATTTGACTTGCCCACACCTTGCGGGGATAAAGTCTCAGGATGTGCTTTCCCTTGCTTTCCCTAACTGGTTCCTTTACCCTCTGCAGCTGCTGCGGAGAGATTTTTACTAGACGTTTGCCCCTCGAAGTCCCTTTGGTTCTAACCCAGCTCTTCGCTGTTTACAGTTTCGTGTTCCTAATTTCTCATGCGCCCTGACCCTTGCTTCCAAAATATTGTCATACTTCATACTTGCCCTGCTGTGGCCAGAATCGAGTCCCTCTTAGTTCTAGCCTGTTTGTAACAAAATCCAGTTTAACAAAACAAAAAACGTTCAGCGATTCCTTTATTTAGCCTTCTCTCTGGAGCCCAGCGCTGCCTCGGGCTGTGTCAGAATGGGTTCTACTGGCATTTGACTCCCTGGGCAATCCACGGAGGGTAAACCGGTTTGAGACCGGGCCCCTCCGCACATCACACGACACTGCTTGACCCCTTGCTTCGACTAATATGCTAAAAAAAAAAAATATGCCCTGAAAGTTGGTATTGGTTTCCTGCCTAAAAATTCATTGCCCTCCTTGTAGCAGGTGCTCTACCATAATAGTGGCTCTGAGTGTTTGAAGGTAGCAAAGGCAGTTATCAGGAAACCAATTTACTTGTATTGATTATGCCTGGTTGGGTACGTACTGGGGACCGGACCCCCAAGGAGACAAGCCGGACATTCTCAGTGGACTTTAAAAAACTGCAAGGATCTACTGCTGTGGAGAAGGCCACCACCAGATACATTGTGAGGAGGGGGAGATTCTTTTCCTGGTGTGATGAATACGGTGGGCTGATCTAGAGTCTAGAATTTTTAAAAAACTTAATGAAGACTCTTGTCAACAGCAGCAACAAAAAATGGAAAAGTTTGGAGGGGTTGCTGAGATTCTGCTTTATCTTATTTGAAAACTGGGAACAATGTGCATTATATTTAAACGTATTTACTAAAGTTAGCTTAGGGCCTAACCCAGAATGAAAATGGAATGGGGTTTGAAATATGCAATAGGAAATGCACATTTCCTTTTGGAAATGAAATTTGAAAGACCTTTTTAAATTTTTCTTGTGGTGCTGGGAATTGAACTCAGGGCCTTGCACCTACTAGCACTACCTCTGTGCTGCAGCCCTAGCTGAGATACTTTTTGCCAGGTGATCCAATTGCTGTAGGGTCCTATTGTTTTGTACCAGAAGGGACAAGAGGGAGGAAAACGAAATTCAAACTAATTTGCATTAGAAAAAAACTTAGGGTAAAGAATTCCTGGGTAGGGTTGCTATGGCTGATATCAAGTGCACTGTTGGAAAGTGTTCTAGTTTGTTAAGTAACACCTGAGGTCCCAGTTCTGTTGCATAGCATTTCTTTTTTCTCTCTCTCTTTAACTACTCTGAAACTATACAGAGTTACAGGTTCCTCATTAATTTATGAGCGATACCAAAAGAATTTACTCAATCCAGTAAGTATGTGAGTGCTATCTGTGTAAAAGGCACGTGGCTAAGAAATGAAGATTGAAAGATTGGGGAAATTTCTAATTAAAACAGTGGGCTGATACAGGTTTGTAGCACCAGTTTGATTGAAAATCAAAATCAGTTGAGTTTTCATCTCATTTTCAATGCCTTGCATGTCTTCTGGTGGGCATTTTATTTTATAGTAGCAGCTAGTCTGCATTTTAGTTAATTCCAAAGTAAGCAGTTTTCTCAGAAATATAAATAAGAAGACACATCCATTTCTCCTGGTGTTTGAATTACCATTAAATTAATACAGTTAAAATCAACAAGAAAAGTGATGAAATGATGGTTTTCCTTTCTTTTGCTTTCAAACTAGTAAAATCTTATATGAAGGAAGACAGAATAAACATGGATAACTTTAATCCTCTGGGACCTCCCAAACCATCTTTTATCTAAGTCCATTCTTTTGGAGAATGGACCCAATTTCATTGAATCTTTTAATTCTTCTTTTGGACAGTAGTTCCAGAGGACAATTTCATAAAATCTTTCATTTTAGGTACCAAGAATGATGAATATTATTATCTACTGCTCAACTCAACCTTTGAAAACCAATTTTATTGTAGGGGACTTTGAGAGAATAGACAGGTCTTTTTCAAAATCTAGCAAAAAGTAGGGATTTCATCTCCAGAAAAAAATGCACACCTATTCAAAATGTTGGACACCTTTCAGAGGATTCCTCATATCAGGGTTAATAGATCTTGCTTTATAAGAGGGCAGATAGATAGAGGAAAATGAGAATGAAGAGGCATGTGGATAAATCCACAAACTGAGTGTATTATTCTACTTACACATGAAATAAATACCTGGCCTCTTGTGTAAGTGTTCTGGATTATCTGTGAAAGACTAAAGACACTTTAATTATATTAATTTTTAATTGCTATTTTAATTGATATTTAAAAGATCAGCTCTTTTTCTTGAATATTATACCATTCTCACTTTTTGTATTTTGCTGTTTTGAGTGCCAGGGATTGAACCCAGGGACACTCTACCACTGAGCTGCATCCCCAGCACTTTTTGTTTTTATTTTGAAAGTTTTTGCTAAGTTGCCCAGCTGGCCTCAAACTTGTGATCCTCATGCCTCAGCCTCTGGAGTTGCAGGGATGTGCTCACTATACCTAGCTTTATTTTTAAATTTTTCTTGCTTTTCTCAAGAAAAGTAGTTCTAAGATTTGTTCCCAGTACTAGTGTCCTATTTGGGGGAACAGTTTCTCACACATGATTTTCTACCCTTGACTTACTAAGTATGGGAATGGTTGAATTAAAAAATCAAGGAGTCCATCTCCCTCAAACCATAGCAGTTCACCTTTAGGAAGATTTATTTGTCTGTTTATTTATTTATTCAATTTGTATTTATTTTGTAAGTATTAAAGTCTATGTAAACCACTGTGATAACAGTAGCTGTATCTTGGAGTGGGTTGGAATTAGGAATTAGAAATCAATGAACATTTAGGCATGACTTCTAAGAACAAACCAGCAGTTGCTGTGTTAACTCTCTTTCTTCTTTACCCAGGGAAGGAGTAAGCTGTCCCTTCAACTCTCAGCCCCACTAATCAAGGTTTCACTGAACTGCACTGAGCTCCCAGCTGGGGATTCTGTCCCCTGCCTCTTGTACTGCACATTGGATCTGGGTAAGTAAAGGGCCTCCTGGAACTAGTAAAATGAGACAGTGGGACATAGGTAGTGACAAATTTAATCTAGATCAAAGGGATCCTTAAATCTCCAGAGGTGTGATTCATACACCACTATTTGGAAGAAAAATATAAAAGAGAATGCCAAAATCCTCATACCTTATCCTCACCTTTGAACTTAGGTCAGGATCAGCTTAACTGATCCTGATATATAACTTAGATATCAACCAGACTTGGTTGACCTTATTCTTGACTGGCAATTTGTGACTGGTAATCAAGTCTAGAATATTATTGGTAGATGTTTATCGGATGTTTAAATTCATGGAGATCATGGCTTTAATCCAGGCCCTTCTAGGCATGGGTAGCTAGGCATATGATCTTGGGCAAGTCAGTTAAATTCTTTGGACCTTGGTTTTGCTATGTATAAAAGTAGGCTGGCAGCTGGGCGAGGTGACACACACCTGTAATCCCAGTGACTCAGGAGGCTGAGACAGCAGGATTGCAAGTTCAAAGCCAGCCTCAGCAATGGTGACACTCAGTGACGCTCTGTCTCTAAAAAAAAGTAGGCTGACATATGGTACCTGTGTTTCTTAGCTACTAATATGTAGGCCTATTATGCTTTCATCACCTGAAAGTTTACTTGGAAAAAAAAAAAAAGATTTTGATTTAATTGGACTAAGGTAGGCCCAGACATCTTTTAAAAGTTCCTCTAGGAAATAATAATATCCAGTCAAGATACAGAATCACTGGGTTAAATAATCACAAAGAACCAATTCTGAGATTCTGTAATCTTAGGACAGAAAGCAGACCCAAAAAAATCTGTTACATATTATGTCACCCTTGCATTACCTACACTCAGGGTAACCAAGCCTGAATTATGCCCTGTAAGCAGCAGTCCAGACCAAGACATTTCAGTGAGTTCAGAGAAGGGACTGCTCCTTTTCACCACCCAGAGTGCTTTGAGTTTTCAGCTCCTGGTGCATTTTGATGGGCTGAATTGGATGTAACTCTGCCTATCTAAAATGATCCTCTGTTCCAAAAGTCCCCCTGGGACGATTACATCTCTTTTCTAGGTATCCAGTCCAGCGTTTAATAGCCTCTTGAAATTGTCTCCTAGAAGTGATCTGTGACTTGTTGGGGTAGGGAAGAAAGGTGTCAACAAGGGATAAGGATGATCACCTTGATTGTAGCTGAAATGTGAGCTAAGATCCTCAAACCTTCTCAAGTAATCAGACTATCCAGTTACCAGAACTGGGAGAGAGAAAAAAAAGAGCACATTGTTTACTTACTTGTTCAGGGCCTAATCTTGTTGTGGTTACATTGAAACCTCTATAGATGCTCATACTTAGAAAACTATTCTTGCTATAAAGATATAAGTTATTAAAGTGTAAATCCATGATCTTTGTCTTTCCTGCTCTTTGTTTCTCCTTCTACATATCTGAAAATACCTCAAAGGCATGTCAGAGAGAAGGACATGAGTTGACAAAAAATGGGAAGGATTAAGCCAGGGTAAGAGGCACGTGCATTACAGGGAACTATATTGAACTTCTCTTTGGGTTAATCTGCTACAAACTTGTTTTCAAGCTTTCTGTGATGTAGGCAAATCATCATATCCTATTTGCTCTGTGTTGGTGAACGTGGGCTTCTGGCCCTTGATTCCTGCTTGTTCCCTGCAGTCTTCCATATGCAGTGTGTTGAATGGTAGCTCCAAGGGTGAGCTGGTGACCCCCACACACTTGATATAAGCTAGTGTTCACCAATACCAGGGCCTGATTGAATACTAAATGATATTTTAATATTAGTATTTGTTGGAGAATACTTTTTTCTGGAGTGGAAAGCTACCAGCAGTGGAGTTCTTTGCCTTTGTATCTCAGAGGAGCTGCCCATCCCTGATTTTAAAAATCCAGTGCATACCTACAGAACCAGCTCAGCCTCCACCTTGCCAGCCACCTAGAGCTGGTTTACCCATTGCCATTAAAAAAAATGCATAAATAAAATTCTAGCATTGCATTGATTTTATGTCTTTCTCACTGATCATTGTTCCCAAAGATTTTATGGTATTGGCACGTGCTGTTTTATGATTTCATAATTTATTCTTTGCCCGATTCTTAAAATGAATTAAGGTAGGAATAAAGGCACTAGGAAAAGATGGATTCGTCACCATAACCTTAACAATGATGAAAAATTTGCTAAACTCAAAGACTCATTAATATGTTTACATATAAACATTTGTTCTCCAATGCATCTAACTTTTTTAATTTTTTAATTGCTTTTATTTTTTAAATATATGACAGCACAATGCATCACAATTCTTATTACACATATAGAACACAATTTTTCATATCTCTGTTTATATATAAAGTATGTTCACACCAATTCATGTCTTCATGAATTGAATGAAGATGAATGAATTGAATGTCATGTCCATCACATTCCACCATCAGTGCTAACCCCCGCCCCCTCCCTTCCTCTCCTACCCCTCTGCCCTATCTAGAGTTCCTCTATTCCTCCCATGCTCCCTCTCCCTACCCCACTATGAGTCAGTCACTTATATCAGAGAAAACATTCACCATTTGTTTTTTTGGGATTGGGTAACTTCACTTAGCATTATCTTCTCCACAGCCATCCATTTACCTGCAAATGCCATGATTTTATTCTCTTTTATTGCTGAGTAATATTCCATTGTGTATATATGCCACATTTTTTAATCCATTCATCTACTGATTTAGTTCCTCAAAACAATGAAATGTAAAATAATGATAAATGATAGAATTTCTTAACTAGTCCCTGTTTTATTGAGCACTCTTAACAACAGTCTCCAAAGGTAGCAGGGTTTTTCATTTCTTCCTCTCTTTCCTTCTGCCTTGATTCACTCATTCATTCAACAAATATTTAATGAATTCTAATGCCATTTTCCTGTAGCTTCCAGTCTCATGAATAGAGGAGGGAAGACAAAATAAAGAAATAAAATGTAATATAGGTTATATGATGAAAATGCTAAGGCAAAGCTGGGGAAAAAGCAGTGGTGGACTCGTAGTACAATTTTTTAATCAATGCTCACAGAAAGCTTCCTGTGAGTAAGTGATATGGAGCTAGAACAGAGGTGGTAAAGGAAAAGATTATGAAGCTATCTGGGAGTAGAGTTCCAGACAGAGCCCCTGAGTCAGGTGTGCCTGACACAGTTAGAGAGCAGCAAGAGAGGTCCCTGTGGCTGGAGCCCAGGGACAAGGTGAGAGGTAGTGGGAAATTTTTTAAAGTCAGCCAAGAAAGGAGCAGTTGTGGACAGGAGTTTGGGAGGATGGCTGAAGAGCATCTAGGGCCTTGTAGTGCCTTGTCAGTGGGATTCTTTTGTTTTGTTTTGTTTTCCTAAGTTCTCAATGGACCTTTATTTAATTTATTTTTTATATGCAGTGCTGAGATTTGAACTCATTGCCTCACACATGCTAGGCAAGTGCACTGAGCCCCAGCCCCAGCCTGTCAGTGGGATTCCTAAGGGATGATGTGAAGATAAGGTTTCCTGCTGTTTGATCAAAATAATAGCAGTCCTGTGTTCTGTTCCCTCTGTGTTACTGCCTCTAAGCATTCCCTTAGCTTTTATTTTCGCCCCCACCAAACTGGACTTTTCTCAGTATTTCCTTTGAAGTTCCTTTTTCCCCAGGACTGACTATGGAGTGGGCTCCACTCTCCCTTTTCTTCCTTTCTTGTTCCCTGAAGATAAGGCTGGCCCTTCCTGTTTTAAGGAATGTGCTCCTAATTGCTAAAGAATAAAACCCATCAGGTTATTTCATGAGATAAATTTAACGAATTTGTACAAATCATTCATACTGCAGAACAGACACACAGTGTTGTGTTGTTTTGGGGTTGAGGTTAGCCTCTCTGTTTTGGGTCTGCCCATTGTTTCCTTAAAAACCAGTATTCATTTCCACCATTGAAGATTAAAAATATTTTTTTAACCCATTCAAATTATTTTATTAAGTGACTCTCATCAACACAACAAAACATGACAGAGAATAATCACCAACCACATTTGCACTTCTGAACTGATGGACAAACCCGAAATAAACAATGGCAAACTGAACTTAGCAGTATTATAAAAATACATAGACATGATCCAGTTGAATTTAGCCCAAGAAAGCAAAGATGATCTCAGACCAGCATATCTGTTAATATATCATTGTGTCAGGCAGAATATAAGACAATGCTATTATAAGGTAATCCCTGTTTTCTCAGTGAGAAGCTTCAAATATTACTTCTGACAACCTGAATAAATAAAATGTTAGAGTTGTTTATAAAACAGTCAACTCTCTGTTTTAAAATAGCTATGCATATGTACGTGGAATCATGTAACAAAAGAAATATTGATCTTAAAATATTTTTCATTCCCACATACTATGAAAATATTTTATTCCACATCTTCCCATGCATTCTTGACACCAATATCTCCATTTTTACAAAAGCCACTTGGAGATATTTAACATTGTCTTCCAGAGCTACCTTCTTCATTTCTGAGGATACTTCAGCCTACAAGTGATATATTAATCAATACATATTTACATTTCAGGAAACTATTTGTCCCTAAAATTGTGTAATGGTGATCTCTACAACAAAACCTTGTTTTATAAATTCATGACCTCCAATTTTTGCAATTATAAGATCATTTCTCAGGTCTCTGTTTTACTGATTATTCCCAGAGATATAATGCATCCTGGTCTCTGTTTTACTGATTATTCCCAGAGACTTCTATAGGTATTCAATACCAATGTGATCAAAATGCTACATAGCAAGCTCTTCAAAATAAAGTAAATTGAGAAGGACACCAGATTATGAAAGATCTTATAAGGAATTAAGTATAAGATGCCTCCTTCTTTTCAGAAGGATAAGTTTTGGGAAAAAGATAAATTTTATCTTACATTCAACCTTTTTCTTTTCTTTTTTTTTTTTTTTTGCACAATAAAGTTTATTTTAAAAGAACATTTAGTTCCCCATGAATTGAGTTCTAT